GGGCGGGCTGCGCCAGTCTCGGAGCCGCGCGGAGCCGACTCGAGCCACGCCGAGCGGCGCCGGGCGAGGCGGCCGACCCCTGAGTACCCATGCTGCTGACGCTGCTCTGGGGCTCCCTCTTCTTCCCCGGGCTCTTCGCGCTCTGCACCTGGGGGCTGCGACGCGCGCTGCCGGAATGGACCGACTCCGACTGCGCGATGATCAGCACCAGGTACGGGGCGAGGCCGGGAGCCGCCTGCCCCACCCGGCGGCGCGCAAGCTGCACGGCGGCCCGACCCGGCTGCGCCCGCCGCTGCGCTGCGCCGTGCTGAGGGCGGAAAAGGGGGGCGACAGGAAGCGAGGGGGCTGCCTCCCTGGTTCCTTGCCCCTCTCCGCCGCTCTGGCCACAGCTCTCGGAAGACCCTGTGCATCCGCCCCGGAGGGAGCGAGGAGGATGGGCAGGGCTGCCCACGTTGGTCAGGATGCGGGAGGGAAGCTTGCTTACCCGCCTTGCCAGCTGCTCTGGGGGTCCGGGGCGCGGCGGCCCCACCATTTTTCTCACCGCACTGGCAGCCTAGGGAAGATCAGTTGTAGAGTTTGGGCTTTCTGCTGCCTACAGGACTGGTTGAATGTGATATTCTCCCCCCTCTTTCCTGCCCCACGTTAGGCTGGTTTCTTCAGTGCAGGCTGTGTTGGCCACCGGCTCAGGGATCGTCATCGTCCGCTCCTGTAGCGACGTGATCTCCGACAGGTAACATCCACAGCCAGGTGAAAGCAGCACAAGCCACAGCGCTCAACTGTTTTCGTAATTCTCATATTTTCGTGGCACCCCGGCCCCAGTTCTTTATCAGTGCGCGCTGCTAGGTCGCTGGTTAATGGGAAGACTTGGGTACCGTAATTAGTTCTTTCTCCTGTCCCAACGACCTCTTTGAGTTTTGCCAGTTTAGGAGAAAGTCAAGTGAAGAAGTGCTAGGGAACAACAGTTTGTCTGTGTTAGGTGGCAAGTGAGAGGACAGTATGGTCCACTGAAGCTAGTTCTTTATGAGATAGGTAACTGTGAAAATTACCCAGAAATGGGAGTACAGCCCTTGGATCTTTTAAGTAGGCTTACTGGGGACCATTTAGTGGCTTGATATGTCCAGGGCAGTTAGCAGAGCCTCCCTATGGATAGGAATGAGTCCTCGGCTTCTTTCTTACAAATGCTTCTATTGTCTTTCCTCTGGGTTTGCTAATGGTGATGAAGAAGGGCTTTCAGAACACCAACTTATAGTGTAACAAATCATAAAATCACAATGCAACTTATAGTGTAACAAATCATAAAATCACAATGCTATGTATATAGCATTTAGGTCTGGGCAATGGTAGTGCTTTAAAAAAAAAAAAAAAAAGTCACCTGCCTTCCCAGAACCACTCTTACTTTCTCCCAAGTTGACTAGAAGATAGTCAAATATGCAGGCAAAGTCTAGTAGCTTTCCCCGTCTTTTTCTCCTAATAACTTTACAAAGTGTCCTCCTTTTCACCTATTGAGACTGGAGAGGGAGGGGTGCCTGAGTGGCTTGCAAATTTAGTGCCTGGATCTTACTTGGGATTAATCTTGCATCATGATTTTTGTACTTTTCTTCTTTTGCCTCTTTTTAGAGAAAACCAGTCAGAGAATGGTAGGTGCTGAGAGTTAGAATTAATGCTCTCTGTCACATACAGTACAGGCTAGCAGCTTTTGCTTGCCTGGGTTCAAATTTTATCTTAATGGAACATTTTCTCATCACTGCCCCCAGTTTGTCAGCTTCAACTTAAGACCAGCCACCTTTGCAAAAAACTAAACAAATGCGGCCCCAGAACACTCGCTCAAGTTGATATGGGGGCAAGCAACAGGCAACCACTGCACATTTCAGGAAAAGATATTTGCCGACGGTTAACTTTCAATTCTATAGCACCATTGTTGTGTTTCCCCCTCAGAAGCTGTGTGTGTTGTGCTTGAGCATGGTGGGAAACCTGAGTTTGGATTTCAGGCCCCTCCTTTTTGTGTATCTTTAGATTTTCTGTTTGCAAGAGAGAAAGATGCCACAGTTCTGTGTGCTCTCCCCTTTACATGTATGCACAAGGATGCTCAAAAGATAGCTAGACTGTAAAGACCTTGGGGGTTCCTACACATTCAAGTTTTTCAATATATGTCTTATGCTATCACTCAGAGTATTCATAGAGAGGAAGAGGTATCTGTAGAGACCCCCCAACTATATGCAGAATGTGGTGTAGGGCCAAGGATTTCATCAAATTCATAAAGAGGTCCATCCAGATCCCTAAAGGTTGGGGGGGGGGGAATCGCAATTCTAGGCAATTTTCTCAGTTTAAGTACCTCTATTTTAGGAACTTTGACTTTTTGTATTTTTAATTCTCACAATAAATTTGTCAGGGAAGGTAAGGATTATTATCTTCATTTGACAAAGAAAACTAATTGGTAGCTAAGATTATAATCCAGATCTCTTGCTAATAACTCTTCAGAGCATTCTACCTACCAGCCACAATTTCAGAGCTTATGATATTGCAAAATATTAAAACCCTCAGCTCTGCTCAAGGGGAAAGGCCAGTTATATTTCAACAGAACTTTCAGTAGGTCTTCATAGTTATTTCGCTTGGAATTGCTTCAGGAAAGCAAAGGAGACTATAAGTGGGCAGTAGAATAAATATAGCATCATTTTTCCTAAATGGATGCTGACTAAATTCTCAACCTACACATATATTGCATTTGCTGTTAGTTACTGGGTTACCTATTTCATTCTTTATTACTTTTATTTTATTGCATAGAAGAACTGTAGGCCAGAGGTGTGGGGGGGTGAAAAGATTCACCAGAGACTGCTCCCAGTGGGGAGCAGAAATGGTGGAGCTATTGGAATACACTGTTGAGGGGAGCAGTGGGCGAGACAGAAGAGGTTTGTGGGCCATGTATGGATTACCTCCCTGGCCAGGGATTAAACTCAGGCAGCAGTGGTGATAGCACTGAGATAACCCCTATGCCACCAAGGAGGCCCCTTTTATTAATTATTTACTTATCTTGTGGTGAATGTAGAATCATTCAGGAGCAGAAACTTGAATGTCACTCTTTGTAGAATATATTCTCCGTATTGCAGTTCAGGGGACTGGCTCCTCAAGAGGTCAGCTGAGACAAAGTCAAACATGCAGAATTGAGGGCCCTGGGGATACCAGTTAGAATTTCTGCAGAGCCCTTAATAAGCACTGCAGGTGATTCTGATGTTCAGGTAGTTTGAAAACCATAAAACTAAATTGTTTCTTCTACCTAAACATGGGTGCTCAATAAAAATTTGCCAACTAGCCCTTCCAGCATACTGCATGATTTATGTTTAGGTTTTTTTCACTAAGTTTTTTATAGATTCTTTTGGGGGGGAATTATATAAATTCTAGGGACTTCCTTTCTAATCTGCTCTGGGGTGCTGATAAACGATCATCTGTATCCAGCACATAGTGCTTCAGCCTCTTTGGACAAGTAAATGGGACACTATCTTTTGTCCAAGCTTCTCTATTGGTATGTAATTGCTGTTAGGTAGTCCTTGAGTTCCAGAGTGGTACTGGGGTTTTATTGCTAAATTGTAAAGAAAATGGCCAGGGTTGTTTCCCAGAAACTCCCCAGTGAACGGCTGTATGCAGATACAAGAGTTAACTCCCAATTGTTGAGCAACTGAGTGGAGTTAAACTGGAAATATTGGATTTGGGATTTGGGACGCCTTCCAAGTCAGTTTCTTGGTGGGGCTGTTAACTCACTTATATATAATCTATATCACAGTAAAGAATATCACAAAATGCCTGACAATCAATTACAAATGAGCAGCTAAACCAGTATTGCTGATAGCAAGTCATTCAAACGTACTCAACATACTCATAAGTGAGTTCTTCTGCTTTTGACACTTACAAATTTGCCCTGTGATTTAGAGTAGAATGTTTACTCTTATTTAGCAGTTTCAGCATCTTTATTATCTGATGGATAAATAAAGTTGGAATAAAAATAGCTGGTTAAATGCAAACTGAAGGGATTGTGTTTGAAAAGAGGTTGGCTTTGGGCCTTTATAATTGTTATCCATAATTATTTCATGGACTATTCATGTGCTTTCTTTCAGGCACTGGCTTGCCCGAGAATATGTCTGGTTTTTGATTCCATACATGATCTATGACACCTATGCCATGTACCTCTGCGAATTGTACCGAACCAGAGACCAGAACCGCAGAGATACCCTTTCTATTTTTCGAAACTTCCTAAGTAAAAATCGCCTCATGATCACGCACCATGCGGTCATTCTGTTTGTCCTTGTGCCGGTCACACAGGTATGACTGCCCAGGACAGCCACCAGCAGCCTTGGCCACTCGTTTCTCCTACTGAACAAACATCTCATCATTTCTCCCCAGGTCCACTTCCGTACCAAAAGTCCAGCCAATAAGGAAGAGAAATGGGAAGGCAGACAGGAAATTAGTCATTTCTTAGAGACTACCAAGTGACAGGCTTTCATTTAAAGTTCAAGGCTTTCTACTAATTAAAATTTATTTGAAAGAATTAGAAATAATAATTAGATGTTAGTTGCCCTATAGCATAGATGATGAAACTAGGGCTCTAAGTGTTTAACTTAATCACCTTCAATGATGCTAAGTGACAGCTGCTTATCCATGTTATACTGCTTTCCTGAACAGATGAAAGGAGAGGCAGAGTATATTACATTGCCTAAAAAGTCTCTCTTGACTTCCTTGGGACCCTAACATCTCGCACAGGGCCTGGCACATACTTTGTTGAGCTTAACAGGCTAAGTGCCCTTGGCATGACTAAGTTAGATACCCAAAAGTAAGCTACAAGAGTTCCTTCTGGCTAACATTGAAATTCAGAGAAAGCCAATCTGAATTTGCCTCTGCATCCTGGGGATTCAGTCATCAGAGTCCTATTGCCAGGGAAGCAGACTCACCCATTTAGCATCTCTGCCCTTCATAATCTCCTTTTCAATAACCATAGTTAGTATTCCTGCCAATGGTTCCTTAACCCCTATTATTTATTTCCCATTTTTCCTCTTTTTATCTGCAGAAACTTAGGGGAGAGCTGGGGGACTTCTTTGTGGGCTGCATCTTCACAGCAGAACTGAGCACTCCATTTGTGTCGCTGGGCAGAGTTCTGATTCAGGCATGTATGAAGGAAATGGGAGAACTAGCAGAGGGAGCAGACACTGTTGTTTTGGTAGCTTGTGGGGTTTGGAGTAATCCCTTAGTGCTCGCCCTCTGTGAATTTTAATAGCAGCTTATCATCATGACTTTTTCCAATTATTATCTATGGTTATAGCCCACATGTTGTATTTATCAAGTTGTGATTGTTTTATTACTGTATATGCCAAGTGTTTATTGTGAAGCTTGGTGTGCATATTTTTGAAAAGTAAGAGAGAAAGCCTGGAGCAGACTTCGGTTGGTCATCTGAGCCAGTGGAGATGAAACTGCACATTTGATTCAAATTTGATACAGTTCTACATATATATTTTTTCCTGGCCACAGATTTTCTCTAGTCCACTATTCCTATACTCCTGTCAGCTGGGTGACTTAGGTCAAACCCATCCTCAGGACTGGAGAAACTATGAGGTTGCTTACATATAGAAACACAGCAGCACCTAATCTTTTCTGCAAGTGTCAGAGAGTAAATGCAGGGTTACTGTTGTGGGACTCAGGTACTCACTCCCAGCAGCCCCAGCCTCCTCATGACTGTTCTCCTTCCCTAATCTTTTACAGCTAAAGCAGCAGCATACCCTTCTATACAAGCTGAACGGAGTCGTCACGTTGACCACCTTCCTTTCCTGTCGGATCCTTCTTTTCCCCTTCATGTACTGGTCTTATGGTCAACAGCAGGGACTAAACCTGTTCCAAGTGCCATTCCATATCCCTTTCTTCTGCAATGTGGCCAATGCCTTCCTCATTGCTCCCCAGATCTACTGGTTCTCCCTGCTGTGCAAGAAGGCAGTGCGGCTCTTTGACAGTGCCCCAGCCAAAAAGGACAGCTAATCGCTGCCAGGAGTCAGACAGTGGGGGTGCATCCTCATACTAGCTGCCTTTTTGCTCAGTATTCCATGGACCAAGTTGTGCCCTGGGGAGTCTCAGCCTTTTGAGGGTTTGAGCAGAAGGACTTGAGTTTTTCTAAAGAATATTGTATTACCTCCCTCTTTGAACCTGCCCTTTTTGCAAAAACACCTTTTTCTTAGTAGCAACTATTGGGTCTTGTCAGACTTTTTATCAACAGAATGATGTTTTAATGCAGGACCAAGTTTCCTTCTTTGGGGTTTATCTCAAGAGCTCTGAGGGGTAGCATTGGGGCATGGAAAATGTGGACCTGGGTGATAAATGTCTGGGTACCCGCCTGGCCCTAATTATCAGTGGCTCCCCACCTTTCCAACCACATATGGCAGTGGATACATGAACTAGGCCAGCAGTGATGATTTGGTTTTTGAAATAATTTGTGATAGTAGTTTTATATTGTTTACTAGCCAACCCATGGGTTGTCTCATCCTGGGGACAACCTTGAATTCTCATGCCAGCTGACTTCCAATCAGAAGCCTCACTGAAGTAAAAGGCAGGGATGGGAGCCTGAGGCACCTGAGAAAGTAGGGAGGCCAAAAGGTCAGCACCTTTGCAGCCCTGTTTGGTTAAGACCAGTGTCAGACTTGTGAATTTGTCACAAATCTTTCCTTTTTAGCATACCCCCATATCCACTTGCACAAGGTACTCAAAACACTATTGGGGTGAAGTGAAATGGTGACTACTCACTGTAACTCCACTGTAACTTGATGCTGTCCTTTCCATGAAGTGGCAATGGACTCATACTCCAAACTGCATCTGCCTCCTGCTAAGCCAGAGCAAGTGGCCCAAACCCTGTTTCTTTGTGGGTACAGCACCACTCACTACAGAAGTCTGGAAAGCAAGAGTGCAAGACAGCCCTGGCCAAAATATATCCTGTGGACTGACTCCTTCAACCATTTGCAAATAGGATCCTTTGGTGCCAACACTAATTGTTCCTAATCCATTTGGATGGGTTTTAGAAACTGCTATCATGAAGTTTTTTTTCTCAAGAGGAAGTGAAAAAGTAGAGTTTAAAGTGCCTTTTAATTCATTGGACATGAACTTTTAAAGTACTGAATTGTGTGTCTCAACTTTTGACTATTTCAGTCTTAATGGGTGCCATTTAAAACACATAAAGTGCTGTAATTTTTTTTTTTTGTACTGTTTTGTTTACTATGTCTATCTTACAAATCATCCCTGTGGTGATTAAACTGCACTAATATTTCCCAGCTTATTCTCATTTTTGAGCTACAGCAAGACCAGCTTCCTTTAAGGGGCATCCTGTGACCTAGCTGGCTCCTACATACTATTGCACGTGTTTGTATACGTGTAACCGGGAAAATGGGTAGATACATTGATGCTTTTGGCCCCCAGGAAGACCTAGCTCCTACCTTCCTCCAGATAAGCCAGAGTGGTCCAATTCCTGTTCCAATGTGGGTACAGCACCACTCACCACAGAAGTCTGGAAAGCAAGAACGCAAGATATTCTGGGAGGGTGGAAATGTAATTGCAGGCCACAGAACCAGCCCAATTTAGGTGGGGGAGGGAACCTGAGTAATACACCATTTTGAGTGAGCATGTGGATAGGAAGGTGCTGACTGGGCATATTCTATTCCTTCTTTGCATCCCAAACTAAATACCCTACCACCAAGAGCAAGTTCTCACAGTTCTGTAATATACCCTAGATGGCTTAAGTTCACATCTTTATGCTTCTACACACACCATTCCTTGCTCCCGCTGTCTTCAAAACCATGACAACTCGCCCCAGGCAGAAGATAATTACAACCCGTACTTTAATCACATCTTTGCTTTGCTTACCAGACCTTGTTTTAGCATAGCCCCTTCTGGCTCTGTAGAATGGATGAGTTAAGACTGTAAGGCAGAAGTCCTCAATTCAGAGGACACCTTCCTGAGGTCATTAATCACTCTCTACCATTTAATTTTCTTGAGCTGGTCTACTCCTTTTATGAGACAGGTCTCTTTGGGCCCACAAGTCGCATTGACAATTAGTGGTAGAATGGAGTTCTATTCCTAGGGCTGCCCTTTTCAAGAGAACCATGAAATGATTCTTTAAGAGGGGAGGGTTTCAGTGCAAAGAAACACAACATACATACCTGATAATTTTCTTGGCTGGATGACCTCACCTTTGGACATCAAATTCTAGGGGTCTGCTTATGAATCTATTCCAGCTCAACTTGGTAACTTTAAGACTAGCTAAATCTGATTACAGAGTATATAGAGGCGGAGATTACTGATGAGAAAGATGCAAAAGAGACAAGATGAAACTCAAGAATTTTATTATAATTTGTATGTTACAAATACCTAAGAAACTATTTTCTTTACATGGTAATTGCCATAGACTTTTTAGCTTGTATACAATTTCACATAACTGAAAAGTTTTTGTTTCTTAGCATTAATCCCTACAGACCCCACCACAATGAGGCCCATCTGTTTCCTCATCTGCAAAGGTCAGAAATTGCTGATCTTCTGCAGCAGGGTTTGGCGCCGCTCTTCAGGACTAATGTTCTCTGCGATGGACTTTAAGAAGCGCTGCTCATTTACCTTCTGGAGCAAGGAGCTAACAGAAAGATTGGCCTTGCTCAGGGTTTCATAACAGGTGAGGATTTCTAAGGCCAAAACATAGAGCGGTTCACATACCTCTTGGTGAAGCATGGCCATGATGTGCAGAACATGGCAGAAAATCTGGGTATAACAAAATAGGCTCTCCTGGGTCAGGTCATGTTCTTGTCCTTGCACCCAAGGGCCAACTGACTGTATCAACCTAACTGAGTCCAGGAGGTTGGTCAAACTGCTACAAAGGAGCTTGACCACGTGGCTCCAGCCATCCATAGGAAGCCAATTACAACAACTCTGGCTGCAGAGAAACTGGAAAACCCGCAGGTAGAGTACAGAGAGTTGTAGCTCCTGGGCAAAGGGCTTCAGGTTGAGCAGAGGAACAAACTGAATATATTCCAGGCTGTAAGGGACATGCAGGAGCTGTTTCTCCAACAGTCTCCTGGTCAACTGGTGGAGGTACTGCCACTCCTGAGGGCTACACCAAGGCATGACTTGCACTAGAACGACTAGAAAGCCCTTGCTGAACAATCTGACTTCCTCAGGGTTGCTCAGGTCCACTACCAGGAGGGAGAGCATCTGCTCAGAGATGCTACTGGAGATACTGCAGCACTCCATCCAGGCAAGCAGCCCAGTGCCTGGCCCATACCCAGGGTGGGCCTGGGAGGTCCACTCATCATCAGACAGCTTACAGATTTCAAAAAGGGTGGCTGGCACTTCACACTTGAAGTGGCCCTCAAAGAAGTTCTTTAGTCGTAGGCCCACAGTCCAGTCCAGCTGTTCCAACTTCCGGTGAAGCCAGGAGAGGGATTTAATCCAAGTGTCTGGGGAGAAAGTCTCAGCATTGGCTAATACAGTCTCACAGAGGAGGTCTAGGATATGGATCACCAGATCCTTCCCATCCAAAGACAGGCACCGCTTCTCCTTGGGGAGCTGCCAGTATTTGCTGAAGCCATCCAGGAGCTGGCACAAACTGAAGATGAGGGGGAACGGGGAGCAGCTCTGGAGCCAGTATTCTTCTAGGCACACATTTGCTTCAAGAGTCTGGATGAAGATCTTCAGACAAAGATCTACTTCTTCAACATCAAGCATCAAGAAAGGCAGGACAAATTCCTTTAGCACCTCATCTGGCTCAAGAAGAGCAGCGACTGGAATCCCTTGGGGCTTCACAGGATTCATCAGGCAGCTCAAGAACTCCAGAAACTGCTTTTCTTCCTTGGGTGTAGCGAACTTTCTCCAGACTGTTTCTTTGAGGCAAGATACCACAAAAGTGGAGGATGGATTTGGGCCCTGCTCTTCTGTGAACCTAAGGGCAGGGAAAGCAGTGAGAATCTGAGCCAGGAACTTGTGGGTGCCAAGATGGACCACAGCCATGCTGCACATCTTCTTCACTGTGATCTCTGGACACAGTATCACCAGACGGGCCACTGAAGCCACAGCTTTAGCCAAGCCCTGCTCAGAGGCACTCTGTGCAAGCTGGTTGAAGGTCGTATTGAGATCTTCCTGAAAACCCTCCAAGTAAGCCAACAGCTTCTCAGAGAGGCCCTTTCGCCCCCAGGAAAGCAGGACTCCTGAGAGGACTTTATTTTTATCTGGCAGCGAGAGGTCTGCATAGCATTCCAGGATCAAGTTGATCACTTGTTTGATCTGCAGTTCCGAGATGGCTCTGTCTATTGTGCTGACTTCCACCACTGTCTCCAGCAGCTTTAATACCAAGTTTGGCTCTTGGAAGAGAGCCTGGTTATTAACCAGGCAGGCCAGCCACTCATCTGAGAAGGCCCACTTCTTCTCAGCAGCGAAAATATAGCACATTTCCATATGTCGATCCATCTTCTGCTCAATGATGGCCATGGCAATGGAGGCAGTGATATCCTTCTCAAAGCCCTTGTTCTTCAGCACCCTGTTCGTTTTCCTTAGGAAGTCTCCGACACACTCTGCCAACTCCGAGACTATCTGCCTCTCCTCCTTGGACAAGTTGGTGGTATCGAGGTAGAGTTTCAAGTTCTGGCTAAAGGAAGTCAGACTGTCACACAGCCGGTAGCTGTCATAATTTGTCCCCTGGCTGCTGTTGAGCATGGCCTGCAGCTCCTCTCCCCACTCCCGCAGGAGGCTACGCATGAACTCAAACCCGACAAAAATCGTCTCGCTTGGGAGCCTGGCCAGTGAAGTCAGGCTGACATCCCGTTCTGCCTCCTTTACTTTCTCTACCAGTGCCTGTTGGTGATAAGGATTCTGTGTGTCCGAATTCCACACAGAGATCACTGTGGCCAGTTTGTCTAGATACACCGTTGCAGACACTTCCTGCGGATCGTCCTCCATCAGTGCAAACACAGTCAGCATGTCAGCCAAGTTGGCTAATGCGCAGCACTTCATCCCAGGGCATAGGATTCTACTCTGGATTTGCTTCAGCCCAGTGAGCAGCATAGTCAACAAGGGCATGGTAGGACACACATCTGGGTCTGACTTAAACCTCTTTGGAGGATGGGCGAACTCATCTGAAGAGGACATGTACTTATGGGCCATTGTCCTAAACTGAGAGAGCAGGGGGTCCTGCTGATTGACCTTATGCTTCATCATTTCCCACCAGACATTGAGGAAGAAGGCCACATCCTTTGAAGACGTATCAATAGTCATGTGTTCCAAAAAGCGCTCCAGCTCTGTGCGGCAGATGGTGGTGGGCAGGGCCATCAGGAGCTGGATAAAGAGCCCTGAGGCTTCCAGGGACTTGAGTAGCTCAAAAAGGACTGTGTGGTTGATGGTAGGGATCATGTTACCTACTGAGAAGAACACATCTTCCTGCCACCGAGTTTCAGTGTCTGAAGGGGTAGGAGGGTAGGGCTGAAGAACCTTGGCCCAGATGACGATCAGAGCTTTCTTCTTCCAGGTAAAGGGCTGGGAGTGTGCTGTGGCTGAGATCTCCTTCAAGGCCTCCACGATCGGCCGCCCAACACGTTCCCAGTCAGACTTTGTCATGTCTGCCAGTGCTTTGGGGTGAAACAGCTGTTCGGCCAGCAAGAAGCCCCCATGCAGAATAGTCATTTCTTCACAGATATTCACGGGTCCTACACAGAGAGAAGTTGAATAAGACACCGTGTAGTGAAAAGATGAAGAAGGAATGATTCTGAAGGTCACTACAGAGCTGCAGTCAAAAGAACTTAGCTGGGATATAAACGGATCCCAAGCTCTCAAACCTGGAACTGGAAAGACAATCAGTACCACCAGAAAGAGGCAACAGAGGAGGGCTGAACAGGTCTGGAGGGAAAAGTACACAGCTGGTTACTTGAAGTTTGAGGTAGAACATTAAGGTAGACGTGTCCTCCAGTCAAGGAAATGCAGAGTTGAAACACTGGAGGAAAGTCAAGGCCAGGAATGTGTTTCAGAGAGGTTTCTGCCCCAAGGGGAAGGGACGGTACAACCAATGAAATAAATGAGCTCCTGACGTTAGGCCTTCCACCAAAGGAGAAAGGATTTAAAGACAGGTAACACAAGGCCAGCACCAAAATACAGGCCCACCAAGTATACACTGCAGGGTAGGACGACTGAGTTAAGTAGCAGACTCAATAAATGTTACTTTCCCCAACCTTTCATTGATGACAGGACTAGAAACTTGTTACTATTCTTCACCTTTGCCAACTCTGATGCAGGACAGCACATAGGTCTTTCTCGGGTATATTTCCTTTAGGCCCCCAAATGAAGAGTTTAAACACTGTTCAGTATTCAGTATTCCTGACTCCTCTCCCTTTTCCCAGGGTCCAGAGAAGCCAACCTCCCCATTATTTCTTCCCTCCCCCAGCACATCTACACAGGTCAGGAGCCAGCAGACAGAATCCAGACTCCTGTAAGGACTATCTGGTCCTTTTATTTGTGGAAGCAGCAAAAAGCTAAGGGATTAGCACTTATGCACCTGAAGGCAACTCACCTAGGCCACCAGCAACTATTAGATTATTCAAGAGATCTCTCTAGGGTTCTGGTCATTTCTGACTCAGGTTCTTTTCCCAGGATCTCCAAAAAGTGTTCCCTATGACTCTAAATTTAATAATATTGTTCTACCAACTCAGTTGTTTGGCCGCAATACCTATCTTCCAAATACAGTTAGTACATACATGTCCCCAAAGCAGAAAATGGGGAGGGGGGCTCCCCAACCGTTTTATTACTACTGGTAAACTGGTGCTTGTGAATGTCCATTCCTCATTTTTATCTAGAGCGTACTCGATGTCAGTCACTGTGCTAGTCATACACATTATGAGCCTCAGAAGCAATCTGATGTTACCACGACAGAGTAGTGGGGTGGGGACAGAAATCCCCACAGCTGCAGGAATCTAAACCCTAAGCTGTACCATTCCACCACTGAAAAGTTAACTGGGTACACTTCTCCAGTCTACTTATTACCGGCAGAAAGTGCGTCTCTCCCCAGACCTCCCTGAAAAGTGTCCTTAAATACATGTCCGGTAAGATGGGAGGCTGGGCAGTCATGGCTTTATACCAGCTCCGCCTCCTGCAGCCCTTGCTCCGAGGATGGCATGTGCCAGCTCCCCTCCTCACAACTGCTAACCTGATGAACGCTAACTAAATGCAAGGCACTGCACCGGCCTGCATACACGTGAGCTCAGTGAAACCCCCAATCTCTCCAAAGTGGGTGGATACCTATCACCCGCTTTATCAATGAGGACCTCACGAGTCTGAGACACTTGCTCAAGAATTTCCGGGGTATCCGGGCCTTCCGGGGACATCCTCCGAGTACAGCCTTTCCCAGAGCACACGCCCCAAACCCGTCCACTTTCAGAAACTCTGAAATCCCGCCGGCTCCTCACGTGGGGAGGACCCGGGAGGCAGAGGCGGGCCAAGCCGCGGCGCAGCCCGGCCTCTCCTCCCGCCCTCCAAACACCTCCCCGACCCGGAGTCTCCCTGAGCCCGGGTCCGCTCAGCACCGCCCTGCCAGCCGTTGAGGAACGCGGTGAGGCGGGCCCGGGGCTGGGGAGCCGAGACACCCACCTAGGTCCATGGCGGCGACGCTGGCGGCGGCGCGGCCCGCCCCTCCCCCACAAGAGCGCGCGTGCTGCGCAGGCGCCACGGCACAATGGGCGGGGCCAGGGGGCGGTACAATAGGCCGCGCCTCTGTCCCCTCCTACAGTCTCAGCTCCGGCTCCGCGCGGTCCTCACCAACCTGCCCGCGGTGCCGAGGCCCCAAGCCCAGCGCGCCCCCTATCGGCCCGCAGCTTCCAACTAGCCAACAGGCAGGTAGCCGCGTCTGCCCCTCCCCACCCCGTCCCCAGTAAGTCGGGCCCACCCTGGTCCCGAGCGCCGGGCACACACCCGTTCAGTGCCCGGGCCAGCGTCCTGACCGCAGTCCATCCTGTCCGTTAGCCCCTGGCCGGGGCTCGCCTCTCCCCGGGGGATCTCGCGCGCGCCGCCCTGCTAGCGAATGCTCCTCCCCAGGCCGCCCAGTAATGGGCTCAGACGCGCCGCTCCGAGCGGCCTCCCGCCTCCGCTGCGGCTCTAGCCGTCTGGCTCTCGCCGGCCCGCACCTGACCACACAACCGCCCCAGGCGCTCCTCCGCCAGACTGCGGTGGCCGCTCCTTACTTTCCGGCCTCACAGGCGCCTCTGAGATGTTAATTGGTAGTTGTCCCCAGGAACCCGCAGCCAGAACTCGCGCCCGTCTCGCGGCGCTCGGCTCTACCGGGAGAGACCCGGAATGTCCTTTACAATACACATTTCCTCACCGACAGCGAAGCACAAACACCCTGGTTCTTTCCCACGCACTATCTCGCCTCCTTGCTTCCCTTTCTCTTCGTCCCAGACTTAAATCACCAGGCTTCAGCTACTTCTAACTGTCCACCCTCTGCCTTCTATCACCAGATACCACCTAGAAAGGCCACAAGGGCCAGCCACAGTTACCCAGATGTGCCAAGTGGAGTTTGAGTTGGCCTGCGCCGCTGTTAAGCAGTTGAAAGGACCTGTCAGTGATCAGGAGAAACTGTTGGTTTACAGCTTCTACAAACAGGCCACCCAGGGGGACTGTGACATCCCTGCCCCACCTGCCACAGATGTGAGAGCCAAAGCCAAGTGGGAAGCGTGGAATGAGAACAAAGGGATGTCCAAAATGGATGCCATGAGGATCTATGTTGCCAAAGTGGAAGAACTGAAGAAAAAGGAAACTGGCTAAGAGGACAGATTGAGTTGTTAAACAGAAGGGGGTAGCATGGCTTCTCTGGTAGACAAAGGGGCTTCTTAAAAGAACTTGATGGCTGAAACCGTAGCAACCATAGCTGGGACACCAATAAATCACTTGCAACATGAGACTGGCTGATTGCTGTTGGAGATGTAAACTGACTATAAATGAGTCCTAGCAGGGTGTCCCAATGTATAAAAAGCATCTTTCCCTTAGGGAAAATTTATGGAAATTTACTTTCTGTATGGTCCTTGGTTCCCAGACTTCCTATTCCCAGAGGCTTTGCAGATATTTGGCAGGCGGTTGGGGTCGGGGGGAGAAGGGGCACAGGACAATCACTCTATGAAAATGCCAAAGATCTGGGATCAGTGAGACTGGTCTCCAGATGCTCAGCCTCTGGAGAAAGGGAGAGAGAGAAGAGGCCAAGAACCCTTACTTCTTTAGGGACTGTGGATTACACTACTGAAGCCAACATAACAGAAGTAACAGAAGGAAAAGGGACTTATCTTTCATCCAATAAGCTAAAACCAGTATTACTACCAAAAGACTCTACTGGAAAACAGGCTAGTGAATTCAGGGAGTTCACATTTTTAGTGAAGTAAATGATGAAGTATTGATTCATCACAACACAGAAGCTGAGAACCACTGAACACATGGTTTCAAAATCCACTTCTGACTCATCTAAGGCCCAGCCAACATTTTCTTGAGTGTGCTCTCCAAGTAGAAACCTACTAGTTTCTACTGCTCCTAGATGTTGGTGGGACAAAATACATTATGTATGTATATGGGACTTGTTTTAGGAGCACAGGATATCACTTAACCCATGAGGGGTCAAAGTGCAGGAGTTTAGCTTTTCTTTAATATCGATAAACATGGAGGCCTCGATGCACAATGATGTGCTAGGAGATAAAATGATAACATAAATACACTGAGAAGAGAAAGGTCTGCTGTGGCATGGAATTCCTAATACTTCTCCTCAATTTTTTTTTTTTAAGATTTATTATTTATTTGTGTATACAGAACTGGGGTACAGGCCAGAGGCTCAGGGGTGGCGAGAGGCTTCACCAGAGACAGAGTGGGGAGCAGAACAGGCAGATCGACGAAGTACACTGCTGAGGGGAGCAGTAGGCTGATCAGGAGAGGTCTGCCGCGCCATGTGGTCACCTCCAGGGCAGGCGGGAACTGAACGCATGCGGAAGCGGCTTTAGATTCTCAGTGCTGTGCTTTAACACGCTGCGCCACCAGGGAGGGCCACTCCTCAATTATTTTTTTATAGATTATAGTATCAGGTCAATTCTAGTTTGTGAAGGATTATTAAACAGAAACAACTGTAAAGACTTCAGAGGACAAAAGAAACTAAGTCTCTCAAGATCTTCTGTTCACATAGTCACAAGAAGCTGCTACAGACTAAGTGCATTATTTAAGAATGAAGCATACCCAAAACTACAGAACAACTAGTTCTTTAATTTAGTCACTTTACCACAGTAACTAAAAAAACAATTCCTTAGAACTATAAACCAGGCAAGAGTTACACTGTACAACAGCTGTGCTCTTTTGTTTGGAGATCATGAACATATTTGATGCTTTCAGGACCATGATTCACATTCAATGTGAACAGTAAAAATACCTACAGCTTTACTTAGAAATTGTAGGTATAGTTATACTATTCTGTAAATTATAAACCTGACTAAGGAGAAGAGAATATATATTTGTAGGCTTAAATTGGAGGCAAGGAGATTGTGATGGGGGTAGGACTTTCAATGTACATCTTTTTACCCTTTTTTTATTTTTATTTTTAATGTCTTTATTGCATAGAACTGAGGTATAGGCGAGAGATGCAGGGGGTGAGAAGATTCACTTGAGACAAAGTGGGGACAGATTTACTGAAATAAAATGTAAAGGGAAGCAGCAGATGAGAGAGACTGGAGAGGTCTGCTGTACCATGTGGGTTTTTCCCTCAATCAGGGATCAAACCCAGGCCACAGCAGTGTCAACACTGAGACTTAACCCCTAGTCTACCAGGGAGGCCTGGACATCTTGATTTTTGAACACTGACTTGACTACCTCATAAAGAAGTTTGAGATAAGGACACTTTGTTTATTGATGAATAGGGCAAGAGTAAATGGAAATATCCCATTATAATTCTTAATATAAATTTCAGTGGACAAGTTGAAGCCCTTTTGAAAACTTTGCTAAACCATAATGGCATTGTGTGACACATGAGATGGGCATAAGTTACATAAAAGATGTCCACAGTTTTACTATTTCCACCAAATTAGGTAGATATGGATTTGATACTAACTCCCTACGCTAAACTTAGAACTCCTGCAACTTAACCTGGATTTAAATAAAATATTTTAGACTCACGTCATTAAAAAGAATGACTATTCTGAAAATTCAATTCTGGAGAAACAGGAATTTTCTAACTCTCTCTTTAAAAACACTAGAGGTGACAGGACAAACAGATCTACTAAAATACACTACTAAGGGGAGCAGCAGGCAAGACAAGAGAGGTCTCCTGCGCCATGTGGGTTATCCTGCGCCATGTGGATTATCCCCCTAGCTGAGGATCAAACTCATGCTGCAGTGCATTGGCTTGCAATCGCTTGATAATGCTGAGACTTTAACCCCTGCGCCAGCAGGGAGGACCTAAACTGGATTTCTTAATAAAATGTCAACTGGGTGAAACCAAATGGTTTCAGCATGAAATATTAAACATTGCAACAAAAGAAAAATGAAAGGCAATGCGACAAAAGGGAGCTGATATCACAAGCCAAAATGGGTCCCAGGTAGAGAAATAGCATTAACTTTCATCAAGCATACATTTCAGAGGAAAAAATTCTGGCATGCTACAAGTAGACTGAGAGGAATCTTGGGGGGCCTTCCTAGTGGTGCAGGGGTTAAAGACAGTATTATCAAGCCACTGCACTGCAGCTCAATTTGGGTCCCTGGCCAGGGAGCTGACCCATACAGCTCAGCAGACCTCTCCTGTCTCATCTGCTGCTTCCTTCAGCAGTGTATTTCAGTTTGCTCCTCACTCTGTCTCTTGTGAATCCTTTCATCCACCCCACCACCCCCGCCTCCCATCCCACACTTCTGGCCTGTACCCCTCATACATACCCCTGGTATGTATAAGTAAAGTAAATCTTAAAAAAAAAAAAAAGAGGGATCTTGTATTAAGATCATTTAGTACTTATATATAAGCCACTTATTTACTGTAACAAACTTAACAGGCCACATAACAGTAACCTAATATACTGGGAAAGTAGTTTCTTTTCACTAAAACACTATTACAGATAAAAATTAAGAATTACTTAATAATCTACAGTCAAAATGCTCTACCCCTTAAACCCTCAAAATTACTTAATCTAATACTAGACTTGAGAATTAATAGCCTAAAAGACACAGAGAAGTTTGATTATTCAAAATTCTTAAAATTTTCCCACGTGTAAAAGAGGAACATAAGTAACTTAGTTTGTTCTAAAACATGATTGCTTCCTTTGGCGAATTTAAGGTGAGTGACAGTGCTATAGTGCTGACATGAATTTTTTTCTCAGTGAAGGTACGCTGAAACTCATCGTGAAATTTCCATATGCTACCCTGTCAGCAAGAGAATAGCAGACTCTGATTTATAAGTAATTCCATATATGTTATTCCAGAATGGTATCCTGACCTAATCCTTTCTAATCTCAGTTTCTTTCCTAAAATGTGAACTTGGTCACCACTTTAAGTAATGAGACATACTGGTATAACAGCCTGACTTCAAAAAAATTATATAGGAATACACTTAATTCTGTTTCTAGTGATTAAAATTTATTTGTTCTCTGGAACCAAACAGAAAACTAAAAACAAAAAACAAACAACAAAAAAAAACTTTTTCTCATTTTGGAAGATATTTCTAATCCATTTTTAAGAAATCTAACAATCTGTCATTGTGAAGACTGAAAATATAAAACTAGGTGTATATGTAACAACATAGAGCCTTTTGTCTGTTTTCTCTGGCTATACACCATTTTAAATCCAGGAATGGGGGTTTACCAAATCTTTTGGTTCAAGAACAAAATTTATTTAAAAAAATTTAAATGTCAAGTTGTATCAGAGTAAGACATTAGAATAGCATATTACCATCAGGTATTCTGTATTACCATTAGCATCTCCCATCAGGCAACTAATCTGTGTTTATCTGAACAGTTCTAAAAGAATCTATGTGCTTGTCAAAATTCCCGCATCCCCAACCAAAGGTAATGTCCACCTGATTACAGGATGGAAATAATTTGTTACTACCTTAAAGTATATCAGAGCTTTCAATGACTGAAATACACAAATCTTTACTTTAACCTCCTTGTTGGTACAAGAAACAACCAAGTGTGAGAGTATTTAACATGAACGGACACATCAGGTCTCACAGGGGCTAACAGGAATCCCAAATACTTGTCCCACATGATGTCGTCTTCAGTTAACCCGAAGCTTTTAGTTTATTATGTTTAGCAAACCATTCGTCGCTTTTATCTGCTGCCATTGCCTACAGAAACAGAATCGGAATATACATTTATGTCCATAAAAAGAAAAGTACTGTATCTTACTCACTGCACATGCATATGTCCACAATCAATATATTAACATTTAAAGTGTGTTTATTCAGCACAGAGCATTAATTTAATTTGACAGAGGATGCTGATAAGTATTGAGCAATAGCTCATGAATTCTCTTTCCACAGTAAAGGGCAAAGCCTGTGGTCAGTAAGTATGGCTGATTAACTGACTAGGTAGGCTCTTAAAAAATCTTTAGACAGAGAGGCATGCTCTCCACTGCTCATGAGACTCAGTCTAATGATGAAACCAAATGTGAACTGAGATTGGTGGGATGATTCCCTTTTTCTTTGCCTCCTCCCACACTGTTCCACTGATTATTATTTGGTTAGTGTGGGGACTCTTAATTAAAAAGGGAACCATTGTTAATAGCTATGTTTTTGTCCAACCAGAGTTCTTTAATCCTATCATTCTATGAGATTGAGGTCATGAAGAGGGGAGTTATGTCCAGAGCCTAGTTTTCTTGAAATTCTTTGTCCAATACAACCAAACATATGTTAAATAGCTGTTTTGATAAAGAAATACATTTATTCAGTTAAAATGTGTAGAAATGCCCTTAGAAATGTCAGTTTTCTTTTTTATCCACATTAAAACAAGATAGATCTCACACCTATGAACACAAAAACCATATAGATATGGGGGAAACAAAATTAAAAAAGGCTTCTTATGTTGGGTTCAGATGTGGCAGCAGAGACACAAGCTGAGGCTTTGTAGAACAAGTATACAGAATAATTGAGAACTCAAATATGGAAACAACCATTGTGCAATGAATGTCTCGCTCTTTTTCTCTCTCTCCCCCTCCTTGGGCATTTGCTATAATTGAATCATGAAAAAAAGTGTTATCAGATTGAAACGAAAGGAGTAACTAACTAGTTGAAGATGAGAGTGAGACTTACCCAGGAGTGAGACTCAGAGATGGGGCAAGATACCACTATTGCATTTACATAAAATCTTAATACAATTTTATTTTAAATTTTGATGAAAATATAATGTACTTAAAAATAAAAACATACACAAAAGTGACTAGAGAAAAGTGCAGGTATTTTTGCCTTTTAAATAGTATAAAAAGTGGTGGGGGAGGGTGTAGAGTAGAACAATAAATTCTGATGTGGAGAACCCATGGAAACATCTGAGTTTCGAAGAGTGGGGTGGTGGCAAGAAGACAGTTTACTGGAATTGGTTGGAATGGGAGTGAGTTAGGGAGGAGAGGCAGCAAAGAAGATTAGAGAGTAGGAAAAGGCTAAACTCATTACGTGTTCTGCCAAAGAATTTGGAATGTATCTTGAAGGCAATACAGAACTATAGGGAAGTTAAAACTTTTTTTTTTTAAAGATTTATTTATGCACACAAGAGCTGGGGTGTAGGCCAGATGTGCAGAGAATGTTTCAGATTGCTTCATAGTGCTGAGATTTAACCCACTGCAACACCAGGGAGGCCCTGAACAGTTGTTTTTTTTTTGTTTCTTAAAGATCTGTATATTTATGCATACAAGAACTGGGGTCTAGGCCAGAGGTTTTAGAGGGGCGGGGCAGTGAGAGGATTCACCAAAGACAGAATGGGGAGCAGAACAGGCAGAGCTACAGAAATACACTGCTGAGGGGAGCAGCAAGTGGGTCAGGAGAGGTCTGCCACATCATGTGGGTCAGCTCCCTGGCCAGGGATTGAACTCGTGCTGCAGTGGCTGTAGATAGCTTCATAGTGCTGTGATTTCACCTGTTGTACTACTAGGGAGGGCCCAACCCTGAACAGCTTTTTAACTTACTGAATTTATGCTTTAGAAAGCTAATGCTGCCAGCAATGACTGGAGAATGAAAAGAGGCTTTTGCAGTCATACAGCTGATTAAAAAGTAGACAAAAGGGCCCTCCCTGGTGGTGCAGCGGGTTAAAGCACTGCACTGAGAAGCTAAAGCCACTTCCTCATGAGTTCGATTCCTGCCTGCCCCGGAGGTGACCACATGGCGTGGCAGACCTCTCCTGACCCGCCCGCTGCTCCCCTCAGCAGTGTACTTCGTGGATCTGCCTGTTCTGCTCCCCACTCTGTCTCTGGTAAAGCCTCTCGCCGCCCCTGAGCCTCTGGCCTGTACCCAGTTCTGTATGAACAAATGAATAAATCTTTAAAAAAAAAAATAGACAAAAAATCAAAGGTAAGATTCAGCTCTTCATGACTGCTAAGATTGAGGGGTTAGAAGAAATAAAAATAAAAAATGGTTGTAACTCTAGAATTTATACCAAAAGCATAGAAATGTTAAAAAACAATGGTTCTGAGAATTCTAGCTGAAATAACTGGGATAGCAGATAGACAATGCTGTTCAGGGGAGCAAGCAGAGCACAGAAAATGAAAAAGAACCAGTTGCAAAGCCTGAAAGATCACCAGTCAAGTCCTCATATCACCAGTTATTAGGGAAATGCAAATTAAAACTTCAATGAGAAACTGTTTCCTCTATACTAGAATATATAAACTCCATCCCAACACAATGTCAGTGAGGATGCGAAGCAGATGCATCTCTCAGGTGCATACATGGCTGGTAGGAGGCATAAGATGGTTGAATGACTGGATAACTGCTTGGTCTTTTTTGTTGTTAAGATTTATTTATTTATGTATATAATAATTGGGGTACAGGCTAGAGGTATAGAGTATAAGAGGATTCATCTTAAGAGACAGAGTGGAGAGCAGAACAGGTGGATTATATTGAAATACATTACTGAGGGCAGAAGTGGGCAAGACAGGAGAGGTCTGCTGTGCCATGTGGGTCAGCTCCCTGGCCAGGGATCGAATTCATGTTGCAGTGGCTGAGGATAGCTTTATAATGCTGTGCTTTAACCCCATGTGCCACCAGGGAGGCCACTGCTTGGCAGTTTCTTATAAAGTAAAAACAATTCCAGTCCTATGTATTTACCCAAGAGAAATAAAACAAACATACATTTACATGACAGCATTCCTAACAGTGTACCTTATAATTGATAATCTGGAAACAGCTTTAATATCTACCATTGGAAGAATGGATAAACAAAAGTTAAATTCATAAAACTGAATACCACTAAGTAATTCAAAACAAAACCACATTTTGACCACATTTTGATAGATGCAATTACAAGCAGAAATCTCAAAAATATAATGTTGAGGACTTCCCCAGTGGCACAGGAATTAAAGTCTCAGCCCTATCAAGCTATTGCCAGCCGCTGCACTGCACTGCAGCACTAGTTCGATCCCCGGCCAGGGAACTAACCCACATAGTGCAGCAGACCTCTTGCCTGCTGCTCCCCTCAGCAGTGTATCTCAGTAGATCCACCTGACAGGTTCTCTCCCCACTCTCTCTCTGGTGAATTCTCTCACCCACTGCACCTCTGGCCTACACTCAAGTTCTTGTATGCATAAATAAATAAAATTGATCTTAAAATAAAAAAAAATGTTGAGTGAAAGGAATCAAAGGATACCTACTATATGACTCCATTTATAGGAAACCCAAGGATTGACAAAATTAATGGAATAGGAATCAGAATAGCAGTTTCCTTTGGGAGGTGGGAGTGGAGAATAATGAAGTGGACGCGAGAAAAATTTCTGCAATGATGGAGACATTCTATATTTTGAGTACTGGTTGTATAAATACATATAACTGCCAAATTCATCAACTTCAGCACTGAATTTCTGTGCATTCTATTTATATTTCCATCTCGATAACTACAAAAATCATTTTTTAAGAGCCTGGGGAGGATTAGGAACTAGAAATGAGAACATCAGAGAATGGTTGATGGCTGAAGCTCAGAACAGAGGTAGCCAGAAGAGCAGATAACTTCTGTGCAGAGACAAAAACAATGCAGAACAGAAATAAAAGTTGGTCAAAGTGAAACATGGGTAAAAAAACACTTCAAGATCAGATGTAAAAGAGGCTTTTAACTGGGGATACACTATGAAAGAAATATGAACATGGCAGGATCTCTAATACCAAAGGAAAAGTGGGCTCAAAAGAAGAAGACGTTAGATAGTAATATGAAAAAACAAGAAGAGTCTAGCAAATTTCTCAAGGAAGAGGCTGTGATATTCTATTTTCTTTTTTATGGTAAAACTTATAAATATTAATCTTTCCTATACATGTCCTGCTTTTTAAAAAAGATTATTTATGAATACAGAACTTAGGTACAGGCCAGAGATATTGGGGAGGCAAGTGGATTCACCAGAGACAGAGTGGGGAGCAGAACAGGCAGATTCAGTGAAACACACTGCTGAAGGGAGCAGCAGACAGGTCAGAAGAGGTCTGCCACGCCATGTGGGTCACCTCCATGGCCACTGATGAACTCGGGCAAAAGTGATTGCTGATAGCTTCACAATGCTGCACTCCAACTGTTGTGCCACCAGGAAGAGCCCTACATTTCCTGCTTTAATTAACAGATTATCTAGTACTGTGTAGGCAGTTTGCTAAGCTATATAAATTTTTACATAAGGAAATGGAAGTTCAGAGGATTTAAGAAAATTGCTTAAGATCATGACCCAGATAAAAAGGGGCAAAACCAGGATAGATCGAGTCACTCCTTTAATCATTCAACAAAGCATTCACTCAGTGTCCTCTAAACACAGGAATGTGGCACCTGGATACTATGAACAATCGCTTTTGAAGCGTAAAAGATTGAAAGATTGGTTTGATGAGGACAGAAAAAAAGCTGCTGGAGGGCCTCTCTGGTGGCCCAGGGGTTAAGTCTCAGTGTTATTACCACTATGGCCTCAGTTTGATCCCTGGCCAAAAAGGTAACCCACATGTCACAGCAGACCTCTTTTATCCCTCCCACTGCTCCCCCTCAGCAGTGTGTTTCACTGAATCTGCCTGTTCTGCTCCCCACTCTGTCTCTGGTGAATCCTCTCACTCCCTGTACCTCTAGCCTGTACCCCAGTTCTGCTATGCAAAAAAAAAAAAAAAAGTAGTTTCTGGATGTGGCAAGATGATGTCAATGCAAGCATTTCACTGATTGACAGGAGCTAAGCAGAATAGACTGAGTATGAACAGGAGGTAGGAAGCAGAAATTGTGTGGGCAGGTGTTTTAAAAAACAAATCTGGCCATAGAGAAATCTGCAGAAGATTTCTAAAAGATGGGAGATAGAGGAGTTTGTTTGTATGCCGGTTAGAATAATTCACTAAAAGGAAGAGAGTGATGCCAAAAAATGAAAAAAGAGATGACCGAAAGAGCTAAGGAAAACAGGGGTGACATATTGGCATTATTCATTGAACAGAATAATTTTGTAGTAGCAGTGGTTCCCCAAGACAGCCTAAAGTAACAGGAAATGCTGCACCCAGATAGGGTCATGTATAATAGATGGCAATGAAGACACAAGTCTCCTGCTCTTTTGCTACCCCAGTACCAAAGAGACATAGCTCTGATATTAAGAAATGGACCCTGTTGTGTGGCCCTTCTGCACACACACTTAATCTCCCATGGGCCTATTGAGATATAAATTTAGAAATGAGACTCACGTCATCTAACAATTTGCTTCCCTCTGGATCCATCTTAGAAAGTTCTCGAAATGCTTCATCTCCCACAAAGCAAATTTCATGTCCATCCTGTACCAATACAGAGAAAATAAATATGGAAAAATGAAACCTAAGGAAAAACCCTAGTGCAGCCTATCCCCCCCACTAAGTAACACTTACCGGGTCAGCCAGAATGACCACTTGGACTGTTGCTTTCCCTGGGGTATCCAGACTCACCAGGGGAGTCAGGATCCTCTGGTTCTCCCTTTTCATCAAGTCTTCTAAGTCTGGCAACTTGAGGAAAACAAAAAGACAAAGTGAACAGGGGTCACACAGTACTCTTAGGCATGGTCCTCATCAGCCCTAGAGGACTCTCAGATCAACTAGAACCCAGGCACCATTTATTTAGTTTTATTATCTTAGCTGCCATTGAGGCAACTGTTGAACTTGATACAATGGCATAATCAGAGTGAATGTAAAGAAGGAAGGGCCAAGATTCTTAGCTGTTTGAACGAGTCACAGAATTTAAACAAAAGGTTAGGCAACAAATACCTCTTTTTGGGGGCAAGAAAAGGCAATTCTCCCAAAAGCTGCTGCATGGTCAACTGCACTCTTGATGCCCTGTAGCTCCAGTTTACACTGAAAAGAAGTATAGGGTTTATTTTTTGGGAACACACTATGTGGCCAGTACAAAACAGCAAACAGTACTAAAGGAATAAAGCAAAAACTAAGTCTCTTTCCTACTCTCACCCCAGAGACAAACTAAGCAGCAGTTTGCTCTGTATCTAGACACAGGTTTTTTGTTTTGTTTTTTTTTTAACTCAAATTCTAACATAATTCATACATTATTCTGCCCTTGTGTTTCCCCAATCAATGTTATCATATCAGCACATAAAGACTTGCCTAATTCTTTTTCTTAGTTGTACATTAACGTGTTGCATGGAAGAGCCATAAATTATTCAACTATTCCTGTAATCCATAGGCCATTTGGGTTATTTCTTATATTCTGTTATCATAAACAATGCCACAACAGATAACCTTGGACATACTTTTTGTACACGTCTGTACAAAAAGGTTTATCTGTAAAATAAACCTCTAGGACTGGACTGCTAGGTCAAAGAGCAAGGATTAAATCACACTCATGCTAGGTTTTTCTTTTTAGAAGGTGAAAATCATCATTAAGTGTTAAATCTTATCTATTTCTCTTGTGATTCAGCAATTCCACTAGAGGATATGCCCTCAAATATAAACAAAGGTAGTATAGTATCTGGGTGCTGAGGTTATCAGTAATTTTTATTCCCTTCTATTTATCTGTATAAATATTGAGTCACTGTGCAAAAACTGGGATAACCTTCACATAGCCTCATTTATAAGACAAACTTAACAGGTTATTTCTAACCAACATCACCTGGTTATCAGCATAGCCCAGCAAAGCCCTTTGCTTCTCTTCATCTTTTTCATAAATTTTCATTCCCAGTAGATTAGACCAATAGTTCAAGGACTTCTGAAGATCAGACACTGCTAGAGTTACTTTTAATACAGGATCTGTAGGGTCATAAAATAGCAAGATGGACAAATCAGGGCAACAAAATAGAAATACTAAAACAAACTCAAATATATGAAAAATTTATAAGAAAGGGATTTAAGTTGGTAAAAAGGGCACATTTTATAATAAAGGGCACCAAAAATTTGGCTTACCACTTGGTGGGAAAGTTTCACTTTTAAAAGAAATAGCAAAAATACATTCCTGATGGGTTAAAGGATTACATTTAAAGAATGAAATTTAATATGGAAATACCAGAAATAGGTGATTATTTATACAATTTTAGAGTGGAAAAGATTTTTTTAAACCTGAGACCAAAGATATAAGTGCTGGGAAAGAAAAAAAATTGCTAATTATACAAAAGGAAAACTAGACAACAACTGAAAAAAATAATTACCATCAAAATTAAACAAAGTATTGTGGTTTTCCAACACGTTTAAAAGTCCTTAATATTTAAATCAATTTTTATCTTTAATAGGAAAAAGATGAACTGCCTAGAAAAACAGGCAAAGGGTACAAAGGAGTAATCCATAAAAGGAGGAAATAGCCAATGAACACCTGAAAAAACAGTGGACCTCACAAATAATCTATTGCTGTGCCTACCTCGGTATGTTAAAAAAAAGTTAAAAAAGAAAGTAAAATGAGGGTTTAAATAAAACATTTTGTTATCTAATTGGCAAATAATTTGTAAAGTTTACAGTGTAAACTACTGATAGTAAGGGTGTCACAAAACAACACTAGTAAATTTCTGGGAAATAATGTACCAAAAGTCTTAAATGTACACTTTCTCAAAGAACAATCCCATTTTCATCAATTAAAGAAGTAATGGTGGATATATAAACCCTTTCAATCTGGAAGACATTCAACGCAGTACTGTAGCAACACTGTGAAAAACTGGGAGCAACATAAACATCCGACATTAGGGCACTGTTCATCTTCCTACAATGTGTTACAGTAGTCTGAAAAATAGATAACTATATATATTTATGTCTTTTGATAAAAGATAAACTGAAATGTTAACAGTGGTTATCTCTGGAAATATGGATACTATATAAAATACTATTATTTTAGAAAAAGAATAAAAGTAATATTAATACACTTAATATCACTGGAAACTTTTTATAATGCGAATTTCTGAACAGCCGTTTCAAATTCAATACATTTTCCTCCAGTTTTCACTGCTTTGGTCACCTTTGCTAGAGAAGCAACATCATCACAAAGGCGAAGGTGTTTCTCATAGGCCCCCCTGCTTGGCATATTGTCTTAATTCTCCCATTCATTTAGAAATCCACAAATCCCTGACAACCCCCACAATGCGAGGATGTAGGGCAAGAATGACAACAGCGAATGAAATGGCACAGTTGTGTGATCCAAACAAGAGTGCACGTCAGTTAAGACTGACAAAATTGACTATACTACTAACCAGAAATTAGTGCCCTAAAGCACTAATTCCAAGAATGAAGACAATTTAGGACTGTGGGATTCTTCACTATTTCAAGTATTAAAACATTAAGGCTACGGGAAAAGGTGGCCTCTGGTGGCGACGGGGCAGCCACTGCAGCCTGAGCTTGACCCCTGGCCAGAGAGCTGACCCACATGGCATAGCAGACCTCTCTTGTCTTGCCCGCTGCTCCCCTCAGCAGTATATTTCAGTAGATCTGTCCTGTTCTGCTCCCACTTTGTCTACCCCCACTTTGTCCCAGCACCTTTGGACAATACCCTACCTAGTTCATGTATGCATAAAAAAATAAATCTTAAAAAAAAATACACTAGGGAAAAAATGTCAGTGGAATTAGCTATAGAAGTGTCAAAGTCAGCACATAAAGGAACAATTTCCTATCATGAAATCATAAAAACCCCTTAAAAGTGGGCCCTCCCTGGTGGCACAATGGATTGGAGCACAGCACTGCAAGCTAACCGCAGCCGCTTCAGTGCGAGTTCAATCCCTGGCCCCAGAGGTGACCCACATGGCGCAGCAGACCTCTCCTATCTTGTCCACTGCTCCTCTCAGTCGTGTACTTCGTTGATCTGCCTGTTCTATCCCCACTCTGTCTCTGGTGAAGCCTCTTACTTCCCCTGCACCTCTGGCCTGTATCCCAGTTCTGTATGCATAAAGAAATACATCTTTAAAAAAAAAACAAAACACTTAAATCATCAATGACGTACAAGAGATACCACTTCTCAGTCAGTCACACACAGCCACCTCCCATGGGGGAATGGATCTTTCTTTCCCTGAGCACCAGACAAACAGCAAGGAGCATCAAACACAATGATGAGACTCAGCATGAAGGGCAGGCATTTGTGACCCAGGGAAGACCGATAGAGAAAACAGGATATGGGTCTCCCTTCTCAGGTCAACTTAGGGGGATGTGCTCATCAAGTGAAATGGCAGAATTGCCTTGCTATTCACAAGTACTTCCCCTTTCTTTCTTTCTCTTTTTAGTTTTGACAGGCAGCAAAATTCGCAGAAATTAAGTATTCGTATAATGAAGATGACTCTGCAGTAAACAAAACAAGCCATACAAAGTTTCATTCCCTCCCCCAGTAGCAATCAGTGTGACTTCCATTTCATTCTCATTCACCAAGTACAGCACTAGAGTATGGGAAACTGACTTCAGCACAAAGGATGAGAATAACTGGATCTAAGGACATTCCTATTTCTCCTGCCAGTGACTGGTTCAGGAGCTGGCATGTGAATCAAGTCTGATTAGGCAATGTGCTCGAAGATTCTAGGAAAACTGCTTTGTTCTGGGCTCGCCCTGTGGCACAACGTGCAGCACTTCAAGCTAGCAGCAGCCACTTCAGTGTGAGTTCGATCCCCCACTCCTGAGGTGATCCACATGGCTCAGCAGACCTCTCTTGTCTTGCCTGCTGCTCCTTTCAGCAGTGTACTTCAGTCATCTGCCTGTTCTGTTCCCCATTCTGTCTTGGTGAAGCCTCTCATCACCCTTGCACTCTGGCCTGTACTCCAGGTCTGAATGTATAAATAAATCTTTAAAAAACAAACAAACAAACAAACAAAAAACTGCTTTGCTCTACAAAACAGTAAGTCAGTACCTACCCCACCTACTAGATGAAAATGTGGGACCATGTATCCCCATAGTTACTGGCAGTCACCCCACAACCACAAGGAGAACCTGTTCTAGAAGTGGACAAGAGAATGTAGATAGGAAATTTGGGTTCTTGATGCCATTGCTGAGTTGCTGAATCAATAATCCTGAAATCTGTCCTACCTGTAGAATGCCTATTCGATGAGCTAAATATTTCCCTGTGGTTCAAACTAGTTTGAGTTGGGTTTTCTGTTAATTACAACTAAAAGTGCCTTAAATAGATAAGTAGAACAGAAGCAATTTCCATCCCCATAGTTATGAGCTAAAGTTCTAATACATGAATATAATTTCTAGAGAACAAATAACACTGGCTTGGGAAAGACATGTCACGTCAATACAGAAAGACTCCAGAGGGGAAGGAAATCTAGCTTCCATCAAAGATGCTGTTAGTAGGCTTTTACTGGTCCTGGTATAATTACCTGACTGAGGTGAACTGCAGTTCTGTAAATAGAACTTATATCCTCCTGGGGCCTCAGTTTCAAAAACACCTTCTGCAACTTCACTCAGTGGCCATTCCAACCTTCTGGCGTTGCTGACAGCCTGGCTAGAAGCGAGCGTGATACCCTGGGACAAACAATACAACCCAAGTGTAAAATTACAACAGATCTTTTGCAGAACAAGGTAATGAAGCAAAACCCCATTGCTTTTAGGTTAAATCACCTAAGATTTAATTGGCACTCAAAATTATCTTCTAGTAATTTTAAAGTAGGTTTTGAGTGTTTCGAAGATTTTGACTTGTATGAATATAAGGCAGAATTCAAAGGTTTGATCCATTTATATTGAAGACAATCTCTCTTTAATTTTAAAGATTTAATCAGAGAAATCCTGACCTTACTTTGGCTTGCCAGCTACCTTTTCAATGTTTTTTATTTTTGTGTTGTAAGAGGAAAAAATGTAAATAATTAGCAAGGCAATCTTTATATTCGTTTAGTCAGTATTTATGTATGTGGCCAGTCTCCTTTTTAGCTTGGATTATTCTAACAGCCTCTCTCTGGCTTCAGTTCTATCAACCTATCATCTACTCTACAACCAGAGTAAATTTTCCTAAACACACCCAACATGTAGCCTATGCTTAATACAGTAGCCAGACATTGATTTCCCACTGCTGAAAGCCCTTGGATGGCTCATAACCTGAGCTCACTTCCCCTAGTTCTCTCTAATCTAGTCACACTGGATTTCCTGCATTTTCTTGAATGTGCCAGGTGCCATCTGAGGATTTTTGCTCAGATTATTCTCTTTACCTGCAATGTACTTCCCCCAGATTTTCAAATGGTGAACTCCTTTATGTTTTTTCCAGCCTTTGCTCAAATGTCCCCTCCTCGATGGCAACCACTCTCAACATCCTATTTAAAATTAAAACAATCACCTGACCCATACCCCCAAATCTCCTTTACTTTATTCTATATTTTCCCATAACAATGACCATCTGTAAAATGACATGTTACCTGATTCATTTATTTGTCCTATTTATTATTTACTGTCAGGTTCTAGAAATGGCCTGCCAGGTATAGAATTTTACCTGTTTAATCAGTGGTTGTCTCAAGTTCCTGGAATAGTGCCTGGCATACAACAAGCACTCAATAAATAAGTGTTGCATGAATAAATACTGTATATTAACATATATGTAAACTAAATTCCTAGATGTAAAACTGCAAAGTCAGAGAGCAAAGTAAAAATCATTATGATACTGCCACACTGAGGTTGTACCAACTTACAGTCTTATTAGTAATCTTCAAGAACAGTAAATTTCTGACATACTTCCTAATTTTTGAATTTTGCCAATCTGAAAAGTGACAAATGGCAGCATGAAATTTGAACATCTTTTTCAATGATTAACAGATAGTTCCAATTCTAGAACTATTAAGAGTAAAAAGGGTAGCCAATCAGATTATCAGCAGACTTTTCAACAGAAGCATTACAAGCATGAAAGGACTGAAGAGAGGTATTTCAAACACTTAAAGACTGCCAGCCCCAAATCCTCTGTCCAGCAAGATTAACAATCAAGATAGAGGATGAGTAAGGAGATTCAGTAAAAAGCAAAAACTGAAAGAATTTATTAACACCAAGACTGTAAGAGAGAAACCCTGAAGGAGTTATTACAAAGTACCATAATAATGAATATTGAGGCAAAACAAAACAAAAAACCCAAAATTACTTAACATGGAGAAGAGATGAAGGAGAGGAACAACCAGTCAGAAACCAGACCCTCAAACAGGTCACACAAATACACGAACCTCAGTCATCAAATTAACAAACAAAAAATAATAAAAGTAACACCTTACATGACAGAAAGAGAACCTAAACAAAACATAAAAGGAAGCCCTTAAAATAAAGATAAACCAATCCAAAAAAACAAAAAACAAAACACACCAAAACCAAAATATCTCAATAATCACCTTAATAGTAAGGTGGCTTAAATCCAGTCCTTTCAAAAGTTGCAGAGGACTCTCCCTGGTGGCCTAGGGGTTAAGGGCTGTAACTGTTACTGCCTAAGGAAGGGTACTGCTCATCAGGGGCTAGTTTAATACTAAATATCTCTTGAAGACCCACAATAGAGCAGTCAAGCAGTTCTCCCCTGCCTCAAACTGAAAGTGGCTTCACTCAGCTTTTAGAATAGTTTGAAAATATTCATATATGTGGTCCCAATTTCCTTCTCCAGCCAGATGGTGCTACTCAGTAATGTTGAGTGCCATGCTCTCTCATCTCCAGACCTGTATACAGTGTATACGCCAACAACACTTGTCTCACCTGACCCACTCACAGCCCACTTACTTAGCTCTCTGTGAACTCTCACCTCTCTGGTATTAGGTTGGGAATTCCTTCTATGTGTTTCCACACCCACCTGATATTAGCCCAATGTTAGTACTTATCATACTGTATTCTCACTCTTTGCTTGTGGTTTGGTAGACAGGAAGCTCTTTAGACAAGGAACACACTTCACTATTATATTTCTAGGATCTAACAAAATCTAAATTTTGCTAAGTGAATTAGTGAGAGACATTAAAAGAAAAACCAATTTTTTTTTGTTTTTGCTAAACATGAGCACTTTTCTACATAAAAAAGCCTACCATTAACATCAATATTTTGAGTTAAAATAGCAAGATCATCAAATGACTTAAATAACATCCTGCAGTAGGATCTGAGTAGAAATTAATTATGCCTATCTTGCTATGTATTTGCGCCCAGGGATAGTATTTCTACCAGAGTTCAGAAAATGGTAGATATAGTAATATAATAAGTACAGAATAGCTTGAATTTTTGAATGAATGAACGTATGCAAAGTCTT